CGGGTGGTGGCAAAGATTCTCACGCCTACGCTTCCCATCAGCACAATGGCTTCCACATGGCCACCAGCAACTCACTGGGCCCCGCAGGTGAGCCATCCCATAATGCTTCCATTCAGGCTAGGGTAATCATTCCGCCTGCATCAGGTTGGTATGTGTGTGTGTGTGTGTGTGTGTGTGTGTGTGTGTGTGTGTGTGTGTGTGTGTGTGTGTGTGTGCGTGTGCGTGTGTGTGTGTGTTTGTGCGCACGTCTCCCAGGCTTCAACTTGAGTCAGGAGCTGCAAGGCGGCACAGGGTGCCAGTTCTCCTCCAGTCCAGAGGAGGGCGCCTACTTCCAGACGGGCAGCTTTGAGCGCAGCCTCGGCCACATGTCGTCAGTGTACTCCGAGTCGTAACACAGATATCGTACAAGTATTTAGAACTCGCCGTTATCACGTCACACGTACCTTCCAGTGGCAAAGGCGCAGCTTTCCACTTGTACAACAAACGCTAATTTTGATTTTATTGTAAGTATTTTGAAAAAAAACAAAACACTTTTGAGATATAGCTGGTGAAAGTTTTCCATCTTGTTTAGTTCAAGTCATTAGTATCCACTCCGCCTTCTTTTGATTGTACAGTGAACCCCCGCGATCAGACTCGCAATAGATATCGAGACTAAAAAAAACTTTGATATTTGAACACCCCTAATTGCACAAAACTGTACTGCAAATACATGTTGACAGTGTACATGCCTGTGCCTTTAAGAGGCGGGGCCTGGCTGGGAGAGCTGAGACTGCAAGTCTCCATGTAACTCAGTAGATTACTTTGGTGACATCTGGTGGCAAGGAAGTAGTGGAGTGAGTTGAGATTCATTTTGACAAAAAGTAGTTATTTGCCGCCGTTATGTGGCATGTATAGATCTTTACAGTTACAGCATTACTACACTTGTCAATTATAATCGCGGGGGTTCACTGTTCCAAAGAAAGCTAACAGGAGGGTTTGTGAGAAAGGCGTTGAGCCAGTGAATTCTCCAAAATCCTTTCACAATCACTTTTATTGATCCAATAGAAAGAGAAGAAATGGATTCGGTGACCCTGCCGCAACAATGTGAACATTTCCTCTCATGCGTTTTTGTGAAAACATCCTCTTGTATTGGTCATCTGTTTTCAGAGCGAAGCACAGAAACACGCGTATCATGTTGCTCTGTTGTTTATATATATCATACCACACAGCTGGGTCGCTGTTTTCCGATGTCAAAATCCCATTTACACTGCCTAAAAAAAAAAAAATCAAAATAAACAAGCATGACATTCCTTGGTTTGACTGCCTCCAATAGAAAAAGCATGATGTCATTCAGCTACTTTCATATTCCCTTTGCGGTAAATACTTTACAGCTACGGCTTGGACAAACACCATTTGGTGTGTTTTTCAATGACAGCGTGCGTGTTGAGCGGCCGGTGACGCAGTGCAGACTCGCTCGGTGTCGTGTGGGCCCCGAGCGCTTCTGCACAAGCTCACCCGAGACGCGCCGCGAGGTGTGGGCGGCTGGCGCGTCGCCGTGCTGGAATCAGCTGCCTGGGTGTCCGAGAAGCAGGATGGACACAAATGGGATATTCCATCTGTGATTTATTATTTTTTTTTCCCAAACAAAAAGCGGTTGGGGACGACAATCCAACTTTTGATTCTCTTTGTAAATAATAGACGCCATGTGCTTCCAGTAGTGGATAAAGAATATATGCCCATACGTATTGTGACATTAACTGTCGACATGTGTTGCTACACCGGTTTTGTTTAAATATGTGTTGCTTAAAGGAATCGAACCCTGCAACTAACTACAATATTGGTTCGCCCATCTATGGCGTTTTGCATTGTCGGTCAGCATTAAGCTTTTAATGTCAATGTCTTTATCGTATGCTGGAAAGTGTTAATGTTTAAAAAAAAAACAAACATATTGCCGGTTTTTAAACGCCCTAATATTCCAATATTTGCAATATTCCATGACAGCACTTAACGCACATCTCGAGACATTTCTCTGAAATGCAAACTCGGTCGAGTGTTTGTTGACTTTAAAGCACAGGCTGTATTTGTGGGGAGGCCCCAAGTTTCCACACGTCTCCTCCTCGGCGGTGAGCGAGCAGGCGCGGAGGTCCGCTTGGATGTCATCACGCCTTTGACTCGGTTCAAGTCCTGAGATGATGGATTGAGATTGGAAGACAACATCTGTGTGTGTGTGTGTGTGTGTGTGTGTGTGTGTGTGTGTGTGTGTGTGTGTGTGTCTTCCCCCTCGTAATAGTGTCAAGACGCTATCCGGTGTTTCTGGGCCGTCCGCACCACACGTGGCAGAGACAAGAGCCTCTACATATCCAGAGGGTCATCCAAGTCAACCGAACGCTCTACATTGGAGCCAGGTACGATCCCCCCCACCCGGCAAGTAAAACCTCAAAACCCCATTTTGGGGGAAACAAGAAGAGACATTGAGAAGGGACCGCAGAATGGAGAACACTATTGGATGCGAAGTAGGCAACATTTAATGCATACATTTGGGATAACACAATTGGGTGGTTGGGGTGAAGCGGCAGTAAAACAGGCCAAATGTAGTGTTTAACTCATTGCAACTGTCTGAATGTTTTACCGCGCTCAAGAAACAGCCGAAAAGTGCGTAAGCGACTGTCTGAGGGGGATGAGAAGAAGGTGATGATGGCAGTCGCTGGTTTGGGCCACTCCAATCGCTGCTTGTATGGAAAGATTCAAACCAGTGGCGCATCGGCAGAGCACAAATGGTGATGGCGAAAACAAAATTGATGTCAATGCCATTAATCTGAGGAGCAGAAAATTTGTTGATTAGCCAGCACCCTCAATGATCACGTTCACTCACTTCCAAGGAATTTACGAGAGGCTACCTCATCTTTTCGTATGGCACGTCACACATGCAAACCATTTTTGGTGCCCTCTTCCGTCAGTCACTCTGCCCCCGGTCGTAGTTTGTTTACTTGTGGTGACGTCACAGTGACGTCACGGTCTACAGATCAAACGCAAGACAGCCAATCGTGTCGTAAACGCCGAAGAAGAAAATGTCGAAAATTTATGACGGAACATAAAATCCCGACATGACATCACAGCCATTTGAAATCGTTTTTCTCTGAAGTCATCCCAACTCATAATGTCAAATGTCTGTTTGAAGAGAACTTTTGATTTGTGACTCGTGCGAGACAACAGCTCCGCGGCTCCGTTTGGTTCGTCGCTCTGCTGACTTTGCTGATCCCCGGACAGACGAAAAAAAACAGCCCGCTCGGCAGCATTCGGTTTTGACTCTTGAAACGCTTTCGTCGCTCCCTCGAGGCATTCGGCAGCCGACCCCAAACCCCGAAGATTTACGGCACACGTTTTCCAAATTCTAATTTAGCTCAAAAACGTGCTAAAAATCTATCAACGGCCATCCCCGCATGTGGTGCTGGTTATTGTCTGTCGTTGCAGTTCCCAATACGGAGAACCTCTCCGAGCCAGGAAATGACCCAATCGCTGGCCCCCAGCT